CTCTTAACACATTTCAATATGCATGTATAAATTATATTTTAAAATAATTATTGAAAACCATTTTATCATGATTTAAAACATTAGATTTAAGGAAAAATTAAACTTATTTGCCAGCTTTCCTACACTCAAAAAAAGATTTGTTGAATTTACTCAGTTATGTCAACTGGTTCCACTCAMTGTAATTAAGTAAATTCAACAATTTCATTTGAGTGTAGATTCCACCCCCACACATTCAAAAACATCACTTTACATATCATCTTCTCAAAGTTTTGGAGTTGGGGTTGCAGTTTGTGCTCAGTGTGTCACTGAAACATCTTCAAACGTACGATGTGTGAAGGAGAACAAGATGCCAGACTTCAAATAACACTTATTTTGTCAAAGCTTCAAAAATCCGTAGTTGCACTGTGTTTACAGCTGGTGCACACAAACTAATATTACAACAGGTGCTCAGAAAATGACTCAGGGCAGATGACACCCTGGACAACCTGATCATAACCAGGTGATTTTAAAGCCTTTAGGTAATTATATCTCCCCCCCTCGGTGTGATCTTCATCACCCTCGCCTCCACTCTATGGGTATCCTCAGTTTCTCTGTTTATATTTCGACTTGTTAATTGCCTGCCAATTACTCTGGGAGGTGCCRATGCAGCTGCTTGTCTGGAGCTGGAAGTGTTATAATTAATGTTGTAACAGCTCCCCTCTGGAAGCACACTGTTGAAGTGGGGAAAAAATGTCACCACTTTTACAGAAGACCTGTAATGCAGTATGTGCTTTTTTTTTTTTTTTACTGTCAACATCAGCACAAACTAAGCAKCTCCACCTTGAATATTTCAGCAACTAGGATAATGTTTACACGACAGATTTTATTTTTTAAACCCTTTGTATAAGTGCTGATCAGAATGGATTCAGTAGGTGGTGGTTCATCTTGCAGATAAATGGTGCTTCCCCCTGCTGGAGAAAMGTTATTGCACCATGAATCTGCACCTACCCAGATTTAGATCTGTGCTTAAAGTTGGACAAAGACATCAGGAGACAAACTTGTAAAAGAAAAACAACGTACATAAARGATCTGATTCAGTTTTTGTCCTTTTGTCTTTTTAAGCTAAGACAGATCAGGCCTTTAAACAATTTCTGGACGCAAGGAATCCAACGAAGCAGCACTCGTCCACGCTGGAGTCGTACCTGATCAAACCGGTGCAGAGGGTGCTCAAGTACCCCCTCCTGCTGAGGGAGCTGGTCTCTCTCACTGACGCAGACAGTGAGGAGCACTACCACCTCACCGGTAAGAAGAAACACACGTTTTTAAAAACGAACACCATTTTATTTTTTATTGCAAGGGAGCGATTTTTCAAACAAAGCAATTTCCTTTTTTCTTTAATTTAAAGTGCCTGTGACGTCAACTTTTTGTAATACATATGAATGCATTTTTAGAAAGAGGACATTGATAAAATAATGCAAAAGAAATTTCATGTCGCTGAGCTGAACAGTTGTTGAGATATTTGCCTGTGAGGTGACAGGAAGTGATGTCAAAGGGGAATGCAGGTGAACAAAGCGTTGCTACAACAGCTAATAAGACTATAGAGAAGAATTTGATGTTTTTTTAAGATTATTTTGAGTCTCTGCCAGAGTTCAAATAGTATTGTTTTAATAAACAAAAACCAGGGAGCTTTCTTTGTTAGAGTTCTGCTTTGATGTCACTTCCTGTTTCACTTTGGCTGAGCCAAGTTCAAAAGAAAATATGCCAGTTATCGGACAAAATAGGTAAAATTGTGTGTCTCATTCCAACTTTCTTAAATATAAAGATGGTTTCTTTGACTTTTTGTATTTGAAGAATATGCATGTCACAGGCACTTAAAAGTTTTAAATTCTTACCGAGACTCTCTTGTTTGTCCTTCCAGAGGCGCTGAAGGCCATGGARAAGGTGGCGAGCCACATCAACGAGATGCAGAAGATCTACGAGGATTACGGCTCCGTGTTTGATCAGCTCGTGGCCGAGCAGAACGGCCACGAGAAAGAGGTGGATATGCATTTTCACACCAGAATAATCACCGTGACTTTAAAAGTGTTAGAGATGTAGTTTGGAATTCAGTTTTAATTTTAAAACTTTTAGTTTATGCTTCTTGAGCCCAGCTAACTTCGAATAATTCAGATGTGTTTAGCTCGTGTGCTGAGGCTCCAGGGAATGGACATTTCCAGGTTGATTGAATATTTATTTGGGAACCACTGCGGTATAAATGTTCAAAGTGAATGCTAAATATTATCAAGGGAACTGGATGTTTTCACAGTATTTTTACAGCTCTTAAAGACTGAAGGTTTTTCTGACAATCATCCTGTGCATCTATGGACTTTATATGATTCCACATTGCCACAAAAAGCCAAAGGCTCGGCCTCCGGTCATTTCAACCCGTCTGTTGCCTCCTGTGTCCCCCATCAGGTCACAGAGATTTCCATGGGAGAGTTTCTCATGCATTCCTCTGCAGTCTGGCTCAACCCTCACCCGTCGCTGGGCCGCATGAGAAAAGATCCTGAAATTACTGTGTTTGGTGAGTCTCGCAGCGCGTCACTCRTGGATGTTTGCAGAAAAATGTTTACTCAGTGTAGAGCAAGTGAAGTGGATTTGTTAAAGAGCTGCACACAAGTGTGTGAGCAGAACCGAGCTGAAATGTCTGTAGCTTTAACACTGATTTATGCTTTAAGGCTTCAAACTGGCATCTGCAATGCTTCTGTGGGTCRCACTCCTTCAGTCTACTTTTTTCTTTTTCTCCCCCAGGAGGCATTCGCAGTCAGAACTAAGACTTGTTTTTGTTTTTCCTCTCTCTCACCAGTTTTCAAAAAAGCAGTGATATTGGTCTACAGGGAAAATAACAAGCTGAAGAAGAAGATGGTAAGAAATGTTTCCGTTCTTCTTATCGTACCAAATGTGCATTTGATGTAACTAAAACAGCCTGTCTTTAATTGTTCCTCAGCAGACAAACCCTCGTTCTGCACTTTCTCAGGGAGATTTTGACCCGTTCAAGTTCCGCCGGCTCATCCCGCTCTCTGCGCTGCAGGCCAGGCTGGGAAATACTGCAGGTAGAACACATTTTATCCCCTCCATTTTTCCCAGAAATCACCGCTCTGCTGACATTTCTGTTCACCTCCCTCCTCCCTCATCTCCCGAAAGCATAAACCATATTTGGACTASGTGATTAAAAGCCTAATTTCTCGGCTCTCCCAGGAACAGGCGCAGAGAGCAGCTGCATCTGGGAGCTGATTCACTCCAGGTCTGAAGTGGAAGGCAGACCAGAGATGATCTTCCAGTTGTGTAGCAGGTCAGRAACTCGATCAGGTGTTTAATAACCATGAAGTGAGCATTCATAGGTTGGTCTGTTGCATGTCATAACGGTTTTAATGTGTGGAAAGGCTTGTAAATGTCACCCCTGAGTAAAAAGGTCAGACTTCACGTTTTGTAAATTTCCTGGAAAATTAAAAATAAATATTCRTCCAGGGTGGCATCATTTAAAGATGTATAAATCTATACTAAAAAAATATCTGTTAAAATGACAACCTGTTTTGCTTGGTAATTTAAGGGTTTAATGCAACATCTAACAATAGTTGCAATAATTTTTGCAAACATCTCTTTTGAATAAAGGTGTATTCTAACCAGGAAAGACTTTTGCTCCTCTTGTTTGGTCCGGACCAAATAGCGGACATAATTTTTTTTTTTTTTACCTTTGGTGTGGTTTGCATTCACATAATGCTTTTTGCAAGTGGATTATATTTTATAAACAAAGCCACGCAGGTGACGGTCATTGGGCCTCATGCAAGAACATGTTCGTATTCTTATCCTAAATTTCTCTTACTTTTGTTCGTACGAAGGGTTCGTACGAA